GCAATCAGTATTACAATCCCTTAAGAATCAATTCAGACATAGATGAACACATGAGATTAGAACTGGTTTTCTAGGATCAATCCTCAATTAATAAGGTGATTTCTCTAGCTTCTATCTCAAATAATCCCTCATTTGGTTAAATCTTCAAGTCTTTCTCCAAACATGCAAAACCAAGCAACAGTCCCTCCTCCAGGTCTCTCTCTCTCTCTCTCTCTCTCTCTCTCTCTCTCTGTATATATATATATATATGGTGATTCCCTTGTAAGTAATGAAATATGCATACTTGTGCTATAAAATGTCATGCTTTGATTTATGCTGTAACTTAAAATGATGTTTCAGTTTTAAAGTACGCATGAAAAAAGTATAGTCATGTAACATTAGGCAAATAAGTTCAAAAGAGTGAGAAAATGAAAGAAGATAGAAAATGTGGTTTTGTTTTGTAACATGAAGGTTACCCAACAAACAATCCACCAATTGGGAAAAAGAAAAATAGCTTCTGGTCAAGAGCAAAGGCAAAAGGAGACAGGGGCTTCATAGAGGGATGGTAAAGTAAATTACTTTCTTTTTTTCCTCAAATCCCCACAAAAAATCAGAATATAACAGAAGTATAATTAAAAATATATATATATATACATATATATATATATATATATAGGCTATGATACAAAAACACTTGTACTAGTATACTAATGATGTGTTTTCTTGCCTTTACAGCCTCTTCGTGCTGTGTTGCTGCTGGATTTGTGAAGTTTGTGTCGACTAAATCACAACCTGTGGAATTTTTATTCACGGTGCAATGTATCATGTAAAAATTAATACATAGTTCGGCTATTTTATGGCAATGTAATAAGCATTTAATATAATGAATTACTCGTACCAAAAATATATATATATATATATATAATGAATTACAAATTATTCACACTATTTTAGGAGAAATTCTTATAAACAGAATTAATCATCATTAACATGCAACAACATAGACATAGAATTGTGTTCATTTTGTATTTGACAATTTTTGGCAACATTTTAGTGATCCAGGAATTACAAACTAAAAATGAATCTGTACACCATAATAATTATCACCAAGAGAGTTATCAAGTAGCAAGTATTTGCATTTCAAAACGATTCGTTTTATTTTGAAAGAAGCTTCGAGACAGGGTCTGATAATGTGAGCTTCAAGCATTTTTTTTTTTGGACAATAAATGTATTATTTGTTTAACAGCTGAATTGTGCATCTCAAATCAATTCTTTGTCCTTCGGGACCTATGAGCAAGTATTAGATCAATGTGAATAGAAGAATTTTTACCATTTTGCTT